ATTACTATTATTCTCCTTAATAACTCACCGTCCAACTTGTCTTTTTTTTATTTTATTCGCCATGTGTGCATGTATGTAGGTGCGTCGATAGTGCTGGCTTTCACCTTCTCTGTACTGTACATTACAATTATACATAAATTTTCCGGGGTAGCCCAGGGTTAGCCCTTGAGGGAAACTTGCTGCGTACTAAATATAACGGCCCTTCGCTCCATCTTATTTTCTCTTCTCCTTCTCTTACGCTTTCATATATACACAATAGATAAGTCTTCTGTGCCAGGGGCCGTCGTCTGCGCGGTCACCTTTTCTTCTTTATTGCCTCCCCTGGCCCCATTTCTATTCCTAGGGGTATCGTCTGAACAGAACCACAAGAATAAAACGCCAATAAACTCTCCTTTGTTCAGCCTCCCTCTTCTCACTCTTCTCAGCTTCAGAGCTGCATGCACTCGACATCTTCACATCATTCACGTGATATACAGATATTCACCCCCTGAACTTCCATCACACATCCACATTCACTCCCCCAGCAACCCCGCCACAAAATCAGAGGAGAAACAGAAAACACAACACACAAACAGTCCCACAAAACCCCCTATATCACCGTCGTGGACAACAACCAGCAGCCCCGGTGACGCAGTGGTAGTGGCTGCAGCAGAACCAAGGAGGACATTCACTGTTTCCCCCCCTTTTCTGTCCCGACGCCACCAACCCGCGCCCGTCCGGGTCTGCTGGTTCGAATCGCACCCCCAGGGCGAGCCAGGGACCGACCTGGTCCTAGGCCCGCCCTTGGTGTGTGTTTCGAGAAAACCCCGTCTGCAGGCCCAGCACGAAGGCTGTGGCGAGCAGGCGGGGGAGAGATGTAGCACTTCTCGGCCCTGGCCCCTGGGAACTTCATGGGTGAGGGGGCTGAGGGGTGTGAACTCTTTTTTTTATTAATATAATAATACTTGATTAGATTTATTAAAATGACTGAGAGATCTCAACTAGAAGTTGATTGATAGACAGACTATATATAGTATAATAAATAATTGATTGAAAATAGAGCTGTTTAAATACTTTTAAACTATTATTTTTCTTTTATTTTATACCACTTTCTGATTTCTACTATCTTTTAACTGGTACAATCAGCAGCAACATGTGCGTTCTAGCGCTGAGATGTCAAGTCAAAGGTAACTTGCCTCCTTCCCAGCTTTCGGTGTTAAATGATACTGTGCCGAGCTCTAAAATATGTACTACTGAGAATATTCATCATTTTCCCCAGTGTGTCATACTCAGTCTGCCAACCAGGGACAGCGAACTCGCGGGCCTTGAACTGGAGCATGGATTTCACTCTTGAAAGGAGGTTCAGAAGAACACTCGCTCGTCAGCAGCCGAGAAAGATAGTTAGCTTATCCCGCTTCTACCAAAAGCCCTAATCCTTTGTTGCTTCCGCTCTACGGAAGAGATAAGTTGCCTTCGTGAGGTTTTTGACGTCATCCAACTTCAACCGCTTGTCTCCTGTTATATCCAGCGATGTCATCGAGAACAAAATGTTTCTGATCTGGCGGCCATTTAGAAGCTTGATCCATTCTCTGCCTTCCTCATTGCGCCTGAACCACTCGAGGATTTCCCCGCGTTTCTCCTCCACATTTTCATCATTCAGTTGTTGACTCTCACCTGCAGTCAAAGTTTTGCCGAATCCAGGGTGACCTATCTTGCGCGGTCAGAAGCTGAGCGGTGTTCTGGTATGAAGTTTCAACTTGCCATGTAGCAGAATAACGAATCCTTTGCGCTTCTCTTTCATGATATCTTCTGTAAGTGGCTTCGCCCCAGTGCCACTGACATTGCTCATTACAAGATCACGAATAAGACTCTTCTGCGATTGGATAAGTTGTAGTTTACTGAAGGCGTTGGCGCTAGTCCGTTCCTTCACATCGTGCAAGAATTTGGTAACAAGCTGCTTTTCACCTTCTCTCCTAATGCAATGTTCAACTCCAGCCATGTTTTGGCTTGTAGGTGGTGACCCAGGACCAGAGGTGGGCGGAGCTTGAACTGTAAATCCTCAAACTCGTCCTCGTCAGTGAGGTCATCTCAGTGTGGCTTCTGGTTCTCCCTAAGAGCCTTATTAACTGAGCAAATTGAACATGAACACTCATCTTCCTTGTCGGACTTGAGAGCGATGCCCATGGGGCCACGAGTCAAGATTGTAAGTATGCCCCAAAGTCAACCTTGACTCTCACGGAAATCTGTCAGCTATTTGTTAGAGACGTCGTTGTCAATTTGGGTTGGCTAGTTGGGCGATGGTAACGACAAATTGCAGTTTTTCAACAGGTTGCTCTAGCGAGCCACGTCGACGCCTTGTAAGCAACACGCGGGTCAGATAGAAGTTGCGATCATCACCCTGGAGCGATAGATTAGGATACTTTTTTTCATGAAGTGCTAGAGTGTCCATACAGATCTTCCATTTCCTAATGCCCTGAAACCAGCACCGTGGAGGATGGCTTCTCCTTCATAGTCAAACAATTATTAACCTCTCTCTCTCGTGCATACATCTCTAAAGCGTTTGCCTCTTTGGAGCAACATGTCTTCGAGTTTTTCGGTGGATATCTTGGAGATATCACTTCGAAGCTTTAGGGGTATACGTCCAGCTCTCAATGGCTCGGGAACCCCGGAAATCTTCGAAATTGAACTTGATGGCAACACGATTGAAAGTTTTCCCATTCCAATCGTACGGCTAGTAGACAAGTTTCTAGAAACGCTTTCTCCCTTTCCCAGATTCCGTTGAGCGGTGGGTCTCATAGCATTCCTTCACTATGAAAAGCTGAGGTTGCTTCATGAAGGCAACAGAATAGACAATTTCACATCGTGGAAATATAGTCTACAGGTCGTCGAATTGGACAGACTTTCCCCTTTGTTGTCCGATCGGCTAAGAACTGAAATTTTTCATACCCTCTTATGACGAACCCCGTGGAGGCAGTCCAATGAGTGCATTGCATACTCTCCACTTGTAAACTCCTAAGGAAGAGCGGAGCGACCCGGGCTACCCCACAGTGGGGCTGAGTTCTCGTTCTGTTCTCCTGAACAGAGAGTACTCATAAGGCTCGTTGCTTCCGCGTAAAACTTGTAGACCAGTGAACTGGAAGAAGCTACCAGTTGCCATGAATCAAGGCAATTGTAAGCCCAACACCAATGATTCCCCAGCTGGGATGACGATACGTGTCGTCTACAGCAAAGAGCAGGTATCTTCTTTCTGGAATGCTCTCTAAGAGCAAGCAAAAAGGTCGTCATAAGCCCGTAGCTGTCGAGGGAATGTCTCAAAAATGCTGATGTAAAACAACAATTGCATCACTCCAACACGGTACTCTCGAAGCGCATAGGCAGGAGAACCGTTGAAGTTGTCGGCGTCTTTAATGAATATCTGAAAGCGTACTCAGGAGTTGTGGATCTGATGGAGAGAGTCAGCGCTGGTTATGGTAAAGCTGCATATCAGGCACCCTCCATTTTCTCGTGGGATGTTTGTCTTGTCTTTTAACTTCTGTGAAGATGGTTCTCAAATTCGTATGTAGGGTGCTAATCAACAAAGAGCAGACTGAAAGCGAAATCGACACCATGTTGGATACCTCGCGACTAGAATATAGACCGGATAGTGAGGCTAGAACCGATCTATGTCAGCGAGGATATGCACATTTCCCGCAGCATGCAGCTCAGTACTACTCATACACATCCCGCTGCAGGCTCTGGCGTATCTTGAATAAGCCATCAGACGTCGACCTCGCCAAGAGTGTGTCTTCCATCGAGAGAGCAATCACGGAATTGGTCGAGTAAAGAGATTCTCAGGACGGATCCGATTACACGCTGTGGACAAAAGACTGGAAGCAAACTTTACATGTTAGTACTGGCTTCCCCCCCCCTCTCTCTACCGCTGGGCCTGTTCACTCACAAACCAATGCCATCATCCACGCTTCTCTCTCACACGCTCTTCTTGTGGCCTGGAATGAACAGAAGGAAAAAGACATGGATAAACCGGAGCTGACAGAATCCATTGTCACTTAGTGAACCTTGCTTCAAAAGCAGAGAGGGAAAACGGTCGCCCCGTACAATACCCGACTCAGCTGGTCGTTACCAGCGGCGGTGGGTGTCATACGCTTGTGTAGACTGCGTTCATCGGGTGCGACTTTATCCCAACCGGATACGGCCGGACTCGCCTTCTACAATGGAACGGTGAAACGCGTCTCCCCGGACACCGTGATCTCGTCTCTAATCTATCAACACCTAAGCACAAAACAAGCCAGGGTAGTTCTCAATGACGATGAGTACTTCAACCAGTTGAAATGCAACATCAAGAAGGTCCGGTCTGTTGCAGACACCAAAAATTCAAACCAGCAAAACAGGCTGATTTCTTTGCACTTAATTATCAGCAACTTGTTGAAAAAAAGTTATCTTTCAACAATGCGTATTTGGTTCTGGATCGAGCAGACTGTATGAGTTTTCAGGATACGGTCTTGGGACGTCTGCTGGATCTCATGAAATCGTGTCCTCCGGGGTTGAAGATACTGGTCGTTGGCCAGGCTTTCGGTGGTGAGTTTTAAGTGACAATTGCAAAAAAGAATATTTTCACGAGTTAGTATTTGATCAAGATAAC